TAAAGTAGGGGGGAAGACTTCTTTGGGCTCTGCCTAAGTTCACTACAGTCGTTTGGTCTTCACTCTTTGGCTACTATTTGCCCTCACTCTTTCCAACTGAGCCAACCAGAGTACAGTATTTTTTAAAAGTGCTCTGTACTTAGGATCAGCCAACCTAGGTCAAGCCTTGATTCTGATACTTTGTAGCATGGTGTGACTGTTGGCAAGTCACTACACCTCAGTCTCAGTTTTTTGTTAAACACAGTTAATAATACCCAGCTTCAACGGTTGCATGAATTAATTAAAATCACATATGTCAAAGTATTTTGTAAGCTACAGTATTATGTATTTGTACACAGCAGCATAATAATATCAAATTATTAATCTCCTTTATAGAAAAAAAATCTAAACTCTCAAAAGACACATGAAAACTATCAGATTAAATGACCCAAAACACTAATTATAACTATCTCATTCTCCTAAAAATTCTTCGATAGCTCTTGCCATCTAGTAAAGTAATAATTATTAACACCATAATGGTTAAAGTGATTTGCCTGGCAATGCCAGACTTCGTGCTAAATTCTTCATACATGTTGTTTCTAATCTTTATAACAACCCTGCAAGGTAGGTGTCACTCGCTTCATTTTACAGATGAAAAATTTTTTAGCTATTTCCAAATTTTGCTATTATAAACAACCCTACACTGAAAATTTTTTAAAGTATGTCTTTGCAGGTGAAATTCTTAAGAGTGGAATCTGTCAAGTCAAAGAACATACACATTTTAAATTTTGATAAATACTAGCAAATTTCTGGCACTAAAAAAAAAAAGGCTGAAATAATTAACACTCCAAGAGTAAGACAATTTTTCTGTATGCTTGCCTACAGTAGATGTTATAGGCATTTTTAAAATTTGTGGTTAATATAATGGATAAAAAATTACATCTCATTGTTTTCACATTGTTATATTCCTTTTCCTGCTAAAAAGTCTCCAATTAAAGGAGATGACACCATATATTCATCAAACCTCAACTGCTTGCCACAGTTCCTTTTTACACCCTCAATGGTGAGCATTTTGGATAGAACTCACTATCTATATGCATATAGACACACATCTTTTAAATACACGGATAAGATTCAAACAGAAAACACAATTTACTAAATCTAAAATAGAAATTTCTGGTAAAGCTCACTACTGTAACTCATAACGCTGTGCTGCACTAAAATATGATATGATAATATGAAAATATATATATATAAACCAGAACTGTTTACCAATCCGAAATGAAGAATACAATACTGGAAATGAAAAATTCACTAGAGAGACTCAATAGCAGAATAGAGGATACAGAAGAACAGATCAGCGAGCTAGACAAAAGACTAAAGGAAATCACCCAAGCAGAACAGAAAAAAGAACAAAGAATTAGAATGAAGGGAACTCTGGGACAATATCAAGTGCACTAACATTCGTATTATACATGTCCCAGAAGGAGAAGAGAGAGACAAAGGGTCAGAAAATTTATTTGAAGAAATAATAGATGAAAATTTTCCTAATCTAAGGAAGGAAACAGACATTCAAGTACAGGAAGCACAGAGAGCTCCAAACAAGATAAGCCCAAAAAGGCCCATACCAAGACACAATATAATTAAAATGTCCAAAATTAAAGATAAAGAGAGAAAATCAGCAAGAGAAAGGCAACAAGTGACATACAAAGGAAAGCTCATAAGGCTATCAGTGGACTTCTCAGCCAAAACCCTACAGGTGAGAAGAGAATGGCATGGCATATTTAAAGTGCTAAAAGGAAAAAACATACAGCCAAAAATACTCTATCCATCAAGGTTGTCATTCAGAATGGAAGGAGAGATAAAGAGCTTCCCAGACAAGCAAAAATTAAAGGAGTTTATCACCAAGAAACCAGTTCTACAAGAAATGCTGAAGGGACTTATTTAAGTGGGAAAGCGATGACCACAAATAGGGATAAAAAAATTATCAAAAAAAAATAACCCCCCCAAAAAAACCCAGGCAACAAAATCACTGGTAAAGGTAAAAATATAGTAAAGATAGCAGATCAACCAGCTGTGAAAATAAGATGAAGGTTAAAAGACAAAAGTACTAAAATTACCTATTTCAATGATAAGAGGTAATGGATAGACACACACAAGAGATTATATATGATTTCAAAGGTTATTTTTTTAATTTATTTTTTTATTTTTATTTTTTTGGATGAGGAAGATTTGCCCTGAGCTACCATCTGTTGACAATCTTTCTCCTTTTGCTTGAGGAAGATTCATCCTGAGCTAACATCTGCACCAGTCTTCCTCTATTTTGTATGTGGGTCACCACTGGAGCATGGCCGCTGACGAGTGGTGTAGGTCCACGCCTGGAAACCAAACTGGGCCACCAAAGCCGAGCACATCAAACTTAACCACTAGACCATGGAGCCAGCCCCCTTGCAGGTTGTTTTATAATTCTTAATCTAATATTTATTGAATCCTTCCACAATATTCATTGAACTTACTATGCAGAAATCATTAGGATAGATAACAAAAGGGAAAGAAAGACTGGTAAGACCAAGTCTCCTGTCTCAAGAGGAGATTAAAACACAGAAACAATTTCAACACAATATGTAAAGTGGTATACCAAATAAGAAATCCAAAAAAGGCTTTAAATGCTTTAGAAGACAAAGGAAAGAGACTACTTCTCACCAGAAGAATATGGAAAACTATCCTGGTAGAGGTAACATGTGAACCGTGCCTTTAAGGATAGATAGACAGTTGGAAATGTGGGACAAGACGACAGGTGTGCCCATGGGGGGAAGTGATGAAAATCATGCAATAGGAAAGAGCCAGATATGTTTGGGAATAACATGCAGTGCGGCTTGGCTGAGGCATAGCATTGACAAAGGAAAATGGAGGAGACAAGATCAGAAAGAAAATTAAGGAAGGTGCTTATACATTCTACACTCTTTAATGTAAGACCCCTGATGGAAATAATCCTTCTTATCTTCATTTATGGAGAATATGAACTTCTTCACATCACTTTCTTCCCTGAATTGAAGTCATTTGTGAACTTGACTTGTTTTCCACAACATGACTGTGAGCTCCTCATGAGAAGGACCCACATCTGATTCATTTTTTATCCTTCTCAAATGCCTTAAACATAGATACCAAATAAGCACTTTTTAGTGATCGGATGAATGTATGAATGAATATATTGGCCATGTCATTTAACTTATCTGGGACTCAGAAATTCACCTATACCAGGAGTTGGAGAACTTTTTCTATAAAGGGCCATACAGTAAATATTTTATGCTTCACAGCCCATTCAGCTGTATAGTATACAGCTATACAACTCTGCTGTTACAGAGCAAAAGCAGCCATAGATGACTCATAAATGAATGTGCGTGGCTGTCTGCCAACAAAAGAATTTACAAAAACAGGTGGCAGGTTGCATTCAGCCCATGGACCATAAAGACTCCTCATCTATGCAAACAAATTTAACACAAGTACATTTAAATGTAAGTATTATTTTCAAGTCATTTTCTTACATAATAACAGAACTACAGCCAAAATTTCAAAAGAAAATAAGAAATAAAAAGGGGTATAAACAGGAGAATTTGGATATACTGCATAAAACCTGGTAAATCTGGAACTTTAGGTACTTCCACTAAATGTGCCCTCTCCAGACACTTGTTCCTATTAGCCTTCTGTGTGACCTTGAGTCACAACCTCTTTAGATCTTAGTTTAATCTTTAGCCTTTAGTTTTTAATCTATGAAGTAAACTAGTAAAAATAGATAATTTTGAGCTAGAACTCTATGATCTTAAGGAATTGTTCCATATTAAATTTATAGATTTCTTTTTTTATTTTATTTATTTTTTTAAAGATTTTTATTTTTTCCTTTTTCTCCCCAAAGCACCCCAGTACATAGTTGTGTATTCTTCGTTGTGGGTTCCTCTAGTTGTGGCATGTGGGACGCTGCCTCAGCGTGGTCTGACGAGCAGTGCCATGTCCGCGCCCAGGATTCGAACCGACGAAACACTGGGCCGCCTGCAGCGGAGCGCGCGAACTTAACCACTCGGCCACGGGGCCAGCCCTAAATTTATAGATTTCTAACCGGAAATTTCATCTAGAAAACAATGATGACATTCATAAGTCATCTCAAATCTGTGGAAGAACAAAATACATGTATACCATAGAAATAAAGGATTACATATTAGAACAATAAATTAAGATAATTTAATACCTTGGGTAATTGATGTAACTTTTAAAAACATTATTCAAAATCATATTTTAGTATCTGAAAACTAAGATTTCAATACCACCTTGAATATAGTTATAAATAAACCTGGAAAATCAGTTTAACAGCAAATACAGGTTAATTCACCTAACCAGGAAGGTGATATCAGGAGGATATTCAGATCATAAAAAAAGTTTTCCCCAGCCCCATGCCAAGTGGTTAAGTTCCGCATGCTCCACTTTGGCAGCCCAGGTTCACAGGTTCGGATCCTGGGCGCAGACCTACTCCACTCGTCAGCCACACTGTGGAGGCATCCCTCAGACAAAAAATAAAGGAGGACTGGCACAGATGTTAGCTGAGAGCTCATCTTCCTCACCAAAAAAGCAACAACAAGAAACCTGTTTCCAAAATAGAGGAGGTAGTAAAATTTGATCTTAAATGCCAGAAGATGCAATAAAAAGGAAAAAAATAGAATCTTACTTCTGGCTTTACATTCCACACTAAGTTTTTAAATTTAAAAGTCAAAGTCCATGCAATATATAATAAACTAGGTGTCATTCATAAGGTGTAATGGTGATTTAACTTTTCTATCTTTACTCTTCAAATCAAGACGGGTTACAGAATAAAAACTCTTCACTTTTTACAAACTGTTTTCAAAGAATTGTTGGGTCAATTAAAATTCTATAATTCCTATAATTCATCACTACCCACATTTACAAAAGCAACACTATTACCCTGCTTTCTGAAATATAAGTTAACAGTTTCTGGTTCATTACAAACTTACCAAACATTTGGCAAATTCTCTGTTTTCTGAAAGGAATCCATAACCTGGATGTACCTTAGAAATAAAGACAAAAAGCACTTTCAATTTTATCATATGGCAAAACCTTTATAAGCAAAATACAGAGTGCATTAATGTGTTTATCGTTCAAGGGCCCTTGAGTAAGGTCACTTCTCTTACATACTGTTCAGCTGCAACTCACATTCCTGAGCACAGACTCCAACCTCCTACTTCATGTCACCTCAGGAACACTATCTTTGTCCCAACCACAGTCAGGGCCATCTCCCTACACAGCCTCCTGCCCACCTACATTTGACCACACTGTTCAACACAACTCAAACTCTCCCTACTTTTTCTGAAGCTAACTTTGGCCACAAGTTTCAAAATTTTTCAAATGGCTGGTAGGTCAAAGAATTATGTTAAAGGAATCTTTTGCAAAATGGATGAAACACTCTTAAATCTCCTTTCTTCACAGTACCAGGAACTGCTATTTTCCAAAACTCTGGAGACTAAGCCAACTAACATTTTATTCCTGACAACATTAATGTACTCAGCCACTACCCAATGAGCAGTTTCAGTCAAATCTAACTAAAATGGAAGTTTGGTTTTACTTTTTCTTTTTACTCTAAATTTTTTTTTTCTTCTAATGTCTACTCTTCTCTCCCTCCTCATCCCACTTAGCTATTCACCGCTATTTTACGCTGTGCTCTCTCACAAGCCACAGTGCTACAATCTAAATCCCACCATTCTGTTCTAATCAAGTAATTTTTGACTCTACCAGACTGGCCAAACATAAGTTTAGGCATTCTATTATCAGTCGGTGTTGAATATATTTCTAATAAAACAATTCTGCTACAAGAAAAGTCAAATTTCTGAAGGAGCCAATATCATAACCTAGAAGTAGTTACACATCTGAGATTTCTAACTGCTGAACTAAGCTTTATGAACATGGTAGCGAATAATTTAAACTACTACATCACAGGAAAAGAGTTTTGCTCCATCAATTTCATTTTAAATAAATGTTCAACGAAAAACTGTATTCTGACAAGCTATAGTTAAAAGGCTAAAAAAGTTTCACCTTAACTCTGCTAATAAACTGTAAACATCTATAATATGGGTTCATGAATTCAGTTTTTTCTTTAAACATGCATCTTACTAAAACATTTCTTTCAAAAGAAATGTGAACACTAATTGAAGCACTCCAGTCTAATTGCTGGTCTTGACTTTTTCCATCCAATTTTAGAGATAACTCTGCATGGTTTTTAACATTATATGTACTTAGTTCTCTGATATTTAAAAAAAAAACATACAACAACAACAAAACACTATTCCTGATGTCAGAAGCCAGTCTTTTTCCCTTGGATTACACTCCATCCAAATAGAATTAGGAGTGGGGAGAATTCTTGATTTCTCCACGTAAGTTATGTATATTCTATTGACATAATTGAACTAAAATAATTGCCAAGTGCTTTGTTGTTATTTCTGGAAATATAATTAAGTTTACACAATTTTTAAATGATTAAAACAGAATTTAAACCAGGGTCTTTTGAATCCTGTTTATAAGACAGATTTTTTTTTTTTTAATGCTCTTATTACACTGAAAGGGTTAAAACTCAAAACTAATTGGGACTTCTTTTTTTCTAGCAAATTTGGAAATGAACTGAAACTGCTCCCTGGTGTGAAAGCTGAATCCAGCAGCCACCTGCAGGATCAGCGACCAACACTGCCAGATGCTACAAAGCCTTTGATTTCCAGTAGCGAATTCGGCCACATTTAATTCACGTGACATGAACTAACTGCAACAGCATTTTCAATCATTCTTTCTTATTTTTTAAAAATACAAATGCTAGCTTTCTGCTCACTACATATGAAACAGCTGCAAGAGATAGATTCATTCAGACTCACAGCTTGGGCCCCGGTTTTCTTAATGGCTTCCATGATGGCATCCATGTTGAGGTAGCTTTTACTGGTGGGAGCTGGGCCAACACAGACAGCCTCATCCGCCATTTTCACATGAACCTGAAGAGACAAATCTCTACATTAACAGATGTTCCCAGCAAAAAAAACTACCATCATCTGTAAATCTACACAAAATTGCAAATCTGATTGTTTCACATATCATTTATTTACATAGCCAGTTCTCTTTTTGAATATGCACTAAAAAATAACAATGTAACATATAAGCTCAGGTACTATATTAATCATGATTCCATTGATTACCAGCCTAACGCAATGTCTAACCAAATAATTTCCATAACACTCCCTATCAATTTGATTAAATAAAATCACAGCAAACAACTTTAGCCACCTATTCAGCTACACATAAATCTTATACCAAAACTACCCTGTTACATGTAGTCAGAGTAGCCCAATATTATAAAAAGCACTCATGCCCAGTTCTAAGCAAGCTCCCCAGGAAGTGGGGATAATTAGAGAGACTGAATGAAGGGATGCAGTGAGTGTCCCTGCACAGCATCAGGTCAGCACCAGGCACAAATTAAAGCCCAGGACTAAAGAGTTCAATACCACTACATATGAACCAGAAAATCTTGAGAATCATTTAAATATTCTCACGTTTGATCCTCTACCATTTATCCCTAAAAGAACTGATATGCGCATTAAGTTCTAAATATACTCAAAATTCAGGAATAAACATAAGTTCCATTTTTAAGACTACTCACTCTAGAATGTTTTAAACATCTCTTTGCTTAATAGAAGCTAGGCGTTCAATACTGAAAAGAGTAAGTTGTTCACTTCTAAAAGAAATTTATTCCTTTAAAATGAAGGGATTCATATATTTTTGAAATGACTTTTCCTAACAGTTTTCCAGGTTAAGGAACGCTCAATCAGGTTAAATTTATCTTACAAGGCAGATATGAAAACTGGAGCACATACATATACCCAGACATTTACGAGCCCCCGTCCCGACTAAGGGGGCAAATCCTTTTGAGCATTGCTAAGTCACATTCTTCAGCTGTGAAGTAACTTTTTAAGAAGCACTTTGTTTTAAATGAGATCTACAAAAAAAAGTCATCTTTTAGAAAGCTCAGAGTCCTCTTCATCAATTCAATACATATTTTCCAATTAAGTAAAAAAATATGTATTGAAAGGTAAAAATGCCTACCCAACAGATTTACAGATAATTATCTTAATATAAAATACTCAAATATATACACTGTAATTTCTCTAATAATATCCACTTCAAGGAAAGGCAGCCATGCTCACAAAGGGATCCTAAATATCCCCATGTTCAAAGCAAGGCTGTCCTTGTGGTTGCTGTTCAGCCTCAAGTTGCTCTTCTTCCGTCAGACCAGAATATCCCCTCCTCCACTTCTCTCTACCCAGTTAAGATCCTATTATTAGCAATTTTGTTGCTGTAACTGAGGCTGTGGCTTTTCTCTATAAAAAAGAAATTGAACACTGAACAATCTCTTAAAAAGAATGCATTAGCCAGGTGGGGATAAAGTCTTTAAACTTAAATCTGCATTTATTCTGTATATTTTATTTCCCTCTAGATACTATCTATTATTAAAGATGCACATAAAGTTTCACTTCTACTACTAGGTCTTTCCCAAGTACTTCAGCTTCCAATAAATCTCCTCTAATCTGAACTCCAATAGTACTTAAGTGCAAATTTTGGCATTTAATCACATACTGCCCAGCAATGTCATTTAAACCGCTTTACAGATGATGTCTGTTAAAATTTATACACCTTCTTCCACCAGATCATAAGGTCCTGCAAAGCAGAGGTTGTGTCTTAAATTTCTTTTTGTTTTTTCCTAATCTCCCCCACCACAGTGTTATGTGCTAAAAGCTTCTTAACTCATAGATATACTTGGATGGCAATTTATTTAACAACTTTCATTGTTAAGCAGTTTCTTTGAGGTAAAAGTCTAACTACACCAAGTTAAATCTTCTCCACCTTAGTAATACATATGGGAACTCAGGGTTGAATGAGGGGGAAAGAAATTAAAAGATATGCACATGAATACATATGTGTATGTTTATATGTCCAAAATTTCTATAATAAACATGCATCCAAAAGCAAAAAAGGGGCCAGGCCTGGTGGCCTAGTGATTAAGTTCGGCACTCTCTGCTTTGGCAGCCGGGGTTCAGATCCTGGGAACAGACCTACGCCACTCGTCTGTCAGTGGCCATGCTGTGGGGGCAGCTCACATACAAAAAGAGGAAGACTGGCAACAGATGTTAGATCAGGGCAAATCCTCCTCAGCAAAAAAAAAAAAAATAAAGTAAAAGTAAAAGAGGAGGGGAATCCTAATAGTATTTTTAGTTATTTACTTTCAGTCTTTTCTCTAAATACACTTCAGTAGACATAATGCATATATAATTTTGCATCCTTTTGTTTTTTAACTAACATCATAAGAGACATTTTTCCTATGTTATCACAAACTCTTTGTAAACATGCTGAGACTCTAGCTCAGAGCCTAACATATTTTAGCAGATGATTAATATTGTCCAAATAAACATTTAAGTAAACTATACAACAAAAGTAGGTCAAGATTGCTTATGGACTTTACAAAGAAAGGCAAAACACATGGTGTTTCTAACGGGTTGGTTGGCTTCTTTTCTTCTATTCCTCAGAAACCTTACTTTAGGGTAGAAAAGTATACTAGCACCTCACCAAGTCCACCATCTAGCCTAAGGTCAGTACTAGCAAAAATGCTGGGCAAAGCTCTTTGAAAGAAAAATCTAGAATTTTCCACTGCCTTAGTTCTAAGGAGATACCTATGAGTCAACAGGGAAAGAACAGTTCAAAAAACTTTAGAAATTAAGTTTCAATTTTTCTGTTACTATTGTACTAAACGTTGGAGGTGATTTCTTTGCGTTAATAATACAAAACTCTACTCAAGCAGCGCTCTCCCAAAGAATGACCTATCATTGACTACAGTGACAAGGTGCATTTATGTTTCAAAAGTTTCAGCATCTTGAAAACCAAATTCCTTTTTATATACTTCAACAGTAAAAGGAAAATATAACAATCGAGGAAAGTTTAAACTGAGGTAAACTAATCAATTAACTAGGATATTGCTACCTACAAGTTTCAAAAAGAAAAAAGACTTTAAGTACTAATACTAAGTAAAGCAGTCTTCATAAACTTTTCCAATAGAAAAGTTTCCCATAGAGGTTTTTAAAGATTATTACTTTCCTCCTCAATGATTTAGTTTTATATTTTGAAATTTTTTCCTCTTTAAATAGAGGAAAATTACTTATATCAGCCTATTATTTTCCAAAGAATGATCTAGCAGAACAAAGGGTGTGTTTTACAACTTTTAGAACTAAAAAAAAAAGAAAGAAAGAAAATTCATCTTCCTTATTGACATTTTAAAAGTGAATTTAAACACTTGGATAAAGGTAGGTTAAAAATTGTGCCAGACACAAAAGGTGAAGTGGTGCACCTACAACAGGACTGACAAACAATAATGTACAACTAAAATTTCACAAGGTTATAAACTATCATAATCTCAATAAAGTAAAAAGAAAAATAAAGCGCCAGAATTTTAAATTTTTGAGTTAGTAGAAAATTTCATATTAGTCCATTAGATGCCTACAATATGCTAAAAAGATAGTCTGCTTCGTTCTTATCCTTATGAAATATGTTGCACCTTAGTGTTAAAAAGCAGGCTAGACCAGATCTGAGTGAAATGTTTTCAATACCTTCTAAACTAGTACAGACTGAGAAAGACAGGGAAGACAAGCAGCTTTGAGGATATTTTCTCATGCTTGGAGATTTTTTTTGAAACCCATCACTCCACAAGAACTGCAGTCACGTGGACATGATTTACCATGATCATGAATACCTGAGTTTTCCCTGTGATAGCCTTCAAGGCAAATGGGTAGAACACTATGAGAACAATATAGCATAGATTAGATGTGCTCCTGGCCTGAGAACAGCAATACAACCTGGCGAGACAGTATCCACCAAATCTAACACTATCAACAAACAAAACTTACCCTTGAAAGACTGAAGAGTTAAAGAAAGGAAGCCAACTGCATCAATCTTTATTTTGAAGAACCAGGAAAAAGAAAAATCGTTTTCAAACAACCAGATAAAATCCTATTTCTAAGAGAGAGAAAAAAAAAAAAGAACTCTTCTCTCTATTTTATACAAAGTGTCTAAAGAGACTTACACAAATGTCAACAGACTAGCATTCTGGCACATCCTTTCTAGAAAGGCAATTTGATCCCTTGAAAATAATGATTTCTTTTTAAGTCAGTAAATATTACATTCTCTTTTATTCCATTTTGTAAACTACATGTGTAGTACCATGACACATTTATTCATGATTATTTTTGGATGGCAGAATTAATGACTTTACTATTTTTCTTCTGTTAAAATTTATATAATTTTCAAAGTAGGTTTCACTGCAGCACTATTCACAACAGCGAAGAGGTGGAAACAACCTAAATGTCCATCAACAGATGAATGGATAAAGAAAGTGTGGTATATACATGCAATGGAATACTATTCAGCCTTTAAAAGGAAGGAAATTCTGCAATAAGTAACAACATGGATGGACCTTGAGGACATTATGCTAACTGAAACAAGCTGGACACAGAAAGACAAATACTGCACAATTCCACTTATGTGAGGGATCACAAAATCAAAGACTGGAATGGTGGGTACCAGAGGATAGGGAAAGAAGAAATAAAGAGTTATCAATCAAGAGGTATAAAGTTTCAGTTAAATAAGATAAATAGGGACTACAGATCTGCTATACAACACTGTACCTACAGTCAACAATAATGTATTGTACCCTTAAAACTCATTAAGAGGATAGAGCTTATGTTGAGTGATCTTACCACAATAAAATTTTTAAAAAAGAAAAGAAAAAATGAACCAACTCAAGCAATTTCATTATACACAACTCTTAAGTTCTTTTTTTTTTATTTTTTTGAGGAAGACTAGCCCTGAGTTAACATCTGCCAATAATCCTCCTCTTTTTGCTGAGGAAGGCTGGCCCTGAGCTAACATCCGTGCCCATCTTCCTCCACCTTAT